GTTGGCCGATTGTCTGCAAAAAATCAAGGCAAATTGTATGGATGATGGGCGAAACAGTACAACATCGAAATCGGGGTAAACATTATGAGTCCTTCAGGTTAAATTATTCCTACTTATCAAATTGAGGACATAAAATCCCTTTATAGATGCCATATTCTTCTGAAGCATGAAAGGGAAATATGGTTAATTCATAACATAACATGTCTTAAAACGAATCATCCAACTCTGGATTCTTTATCCCTTCAAAAAGCATTTCTTGGCAGCGGCATTCATGGCTGCAAAAGGCTTTTTCACCTATGTAAAGAGGGGAAAAAAAAAAAAATTCACTTAAATAATCACTTTTGTACCACAAAAAAGTAAAGCATTTTTAAAGTATTGAATCATTGAAACAATAAAAAAAAAAAAAAAAAAAAAAAAAAAAAATGAAACATGAGGAACTTTTACGAATTATGAACCCCCACGAAATCATTGCCAAGACAAAATTGGCTCAACTCAATAATTTTCTGAATTCTAGCCATTCAATGTATGAAAACCATTAAGCCGTAATAGATTCTAAATCTGCTCAACCACTTCATCTAAAAACTTAAACGTCCTCACTCGCTAGACGGATTCATTTGCTTGAAACAAATACAATTTTCATAATTGAAGGTGGAACCTGTACATGTAAACATCTTTGCCATCTCCAAGAGTGTTTTTGAGTGTATGACAAGAATTGAGAAAATCCACAGAAGGAGAAACTGAAAATTGGCTTCAAAATCAAATTACCTTTCGTTATCAGACAAATTAGGATCCTCACAGCAGCTTGCAACAATGCAGTTATCAAATATACGTGTCGTTTTTGGATTAGGCCCATGAGTGATCACACAAGTATAGTCCTCAGAAAGCTCCATTTCCTTCAAAGATAACTGCCTAGTAAAACTCTGAGGAGAATCCTTTGCTGGGATGCCAGAAAAAGGACTCAACAACTGAGAATCCCTAGTCTTGATTCCGAAATCAGCTGGAGTCTTGGGTGATTCGACTGGGGAAATCAAAGAGGGAACAAGGGTTGGAATTTGAACTTTAAGTTTTGATCCAAACAGAACCATTCTGCTAATTGGCTTTGAAAAATCCCCTTCATTTTTCTCATCATTGATTGAGTCAATCAAGGCAAGTCCAGTGGCTTCTGAGTTTAGTTTATTAAAAGAATTTGGAGACGGGATTGAGGATTTGGACCAATTTTTGTCATAGCCAAAAGGGTTAGCAGAATTTGATGAGTTTTTTGTGTCAAGAATTGAGGTTGGACTCATTGCTACAGATTCTGCATCAGAAACATTCTTTGTGAAAAACCCATTCAAACATCTTGGTGATCCCAGGAAAGATGAAATAGAGGTTGTGGGATTTTTTGGGTTAGTCATTGCTCTAGATTTATTCCTCAAAATTACTATCTCTAATCTCTATTTGGTTAAATATTTTACCATAGGTTCACTGCCAGAATAATAACAACAAAAAGAAGAAAAAATAATTATAAATCCCAAAAATTCCAGAATAAAATGAACATGGTTTTAAAGAAAAAAACTAACCTGGAACCATTGTAAATGTTGGCCTTCTTGAATAACTGCTCAACTGGTCAAGGCACTGAAAAAAGTCTGAAAACAATAAGCAAAAATTTGCTTCTCCACTCGAAGGCTGGAATTTATGAAAAATAAAAAGAATAGAAATAATAGAAAACAATGATAAATCTCATTAGTCTCCACACCAAAACTGATATAAAAAACCCAATCTTTTTTTCCCTTTTTCCATACAGACAAATAGTCAAAATCAAGCCCAGATTTGCATTGATGATCAACAAGATTCAATAGCTTTCATGTGTCTATGTGACTGTGTTTTTACTTCAATTAAAAAAAAAAAAAAAAAAAAAAAAAAAAAAAAAAAAAAAAAAAAAAAAAAAAAAAAAAAAAGAAGCAAAATAGACAGAGCAACATGCTAGAAAACGGAGACAAGTGAGAAAAAGGGTGGAGACAGTGCTTGTTTTGTTTCCATTTTTAATATTACTTCTAGTCTTAGCCAAACATGCCCTTGAGAAGCATTATTGTGAGAGAAAATAATGCTCCTATTTGAGCCCCATTCTTTTGAAAAAATACATTCCTAAACAGCGTTTTGATATTATTTCAACCAACACATTATTTAATAACATAACATTACACGTAAATGTAAAATTTTTTCTTATTTTTTAACCATACATTTCTCACCAATACACTATTCAAAAATGCATTATTATGAAAAGAATGGGGCTCAAATGCCAGTAGGCAGCAAGATAAGGTCCCATCTCTTCATTTTCTAGTGTTCATTTTCTTTTTATGAAAATGATTTGAGAATACATACAAATGCAAGTCATTGTCCTAATGCACGCAATTCCTACGTCGCAAGCCAACATTTAAGTAGAATATGATAGAAAATTGTGTTTATTATTTTATTCACCTTAAAATCATCTAGAGATTAATATTATTCTATAAACATAACTATTTGGCATTATGAATATGTTTTCTTAGCTTGTAAGCACAAGCAAGAATTTAATTTAATTAAATAATTCAATGTGTTTATGTTGAGTTATTTTCGAAACTAGTAGGTAATATGAATCGAATATGAGTACTTGCAGTCGGCAATGACAATGTAAAAAAGAGTAACAATTTCATGCAAATAAATGTTCTTGTCATGACAAAAGAATATTGAAAACACATATTAGATTGGACGATAGGATTAAGGTGAATTATGGAATGCTAAATATATTTACATTACAATTTATAATAGCTAAACCACATTTTAATCGCACGAAAGATTCATAACCTTTACTCATTTATGTCTCAATTTTCTTTTTCCTTTTTTCATCATTCTTATTATTAAATTAACATAAATTGATCCTTATTATAGGTTCTTTCCAAATTTTCTTTAAGATAGAGTAAAAAGATTTATTTGTCCATTTTATTTTTAAATAAGCAAAACAAATAATAATGCAAAGATGTGATTAAATATTTGATCCTCATTTTAAAGCACGTTAACAATATTTTTGAATGAAAACAAAAAGATTAAGGACAAGATTTTCTGATAAATGAAATGTTAAAAAATGAGAATGTAATGAAAAAATGTTAACAATACAAGTATTAAAATGAAAAAAGGTTAATAACATTTAATGTAATCAAAATGTGGAATATTTATAAAAATAATGTGGTGTAAATATTTACACATTATGAAATATTTGCAATTCATTGTTTTGTCACTTTTGTGCCATAATAGAAAAATAAAAGTCTGGATTGGAAAACAATATTACAATATTATTATTTATAAATAAATTTCTTACTTATAAATTTACTCACGAATGTTTTTTTACTTATAAGAAATTTTTTGACATTTAACTAAAAATTCCACTTCTGAGTAATACATTTTGTTTACAAAATAATTTACTTGCAAGTGTTTTTAACTTGTAAAAACTTTTTTGACTTTTAACAAAAAATTTACTTACCAGTATTTTTACTCACAAGTAAAATTTTCATTTACCGGTAGCTTTTCACTTATAAGTGAGTTTATTACTGATAAGGAAAAAAATAGACTAAATTTAATTACTTTTCTTTAATATTGTCCAGTCAGAGCACTTATAACGTCCAATTAATTTTACTAAACCTGCCAAAATTATACAAGTGATGTCTCCATAAAAAGCAAAAATCTGCTGAAAAACAATGGCGTCTCAAGAATGAATCTACCAGAATTTCAAGAGACCATGCAAGATTACACCTATTCATCATGTAAAGAATTACCTATGGTACAACACCTCTCTTGAATTCATAAATCTTACACAACTAAGATTGCAAGAAATCCTAAGACACTTCTAGCATTACCTACCCGAAAAGTTGAACGAGCAAGACTTAGCTAGTGTCGAAACTAAGCTATTGTTTGCCTTTCATGTCATTTCTGCCTCTCTTTCTGAATTCTCGTCTCTCAGCTGAGTACTGCTTCTTAATTAATAAATTGCGCATTGCTGTTTTCACAGCTTCTGCAGCAGCTGAAAAAGCTTCTTTTCCAATTGACAATTTCCCTTGAAGGGTTTGAAGGAGCAACTCCCCTCCAGGTATTTCTGCATCTTCCAAGACCAATGTCTCGAGGTCTAAAGACTCAGAAGCGCTTGTACTAAAACCCGAGATGCCCCTCACACGAGCCAAAGATGCAGATTCAGAAACGTGTAAGCCGGACGCACCCATAACCATCCATAACACTGGGGCTGAAGAAGCTGCCCCTATGCTTGTGGGAATGAAAGTCTCTCCTGGGATGGAAACGACCTACCCCAAAGAAGGGAACCATTCATTACATACAAGTTATGGTTGATACTTGATATAGGCAGGGCAAATTTGCTTGAGAGAATTGCATTGGTGGCCCATAACCTATCACCCATGTAGCAAGTTGGTCCAACCTTTTGTTGTAGTCGCATAAAGAGTCCTCAATGACACGTACCGTCAAGTTTCCGGTAAATCATTGTTCATAAAAACTCAGCTCCTTTGTAAAGGCTGGAGACCAACTTGCTGCTTAGGTAATAACCTGGGGGCCAATGGTACAACTTTCCCAATTTACTCTTGCACCTGATGTATAATCAAGAAATTGCCTCACTTCTAAAAAACAAAACTACTCACTTTGGCAACAGATAGAGTTTTGCTGGATTGATTGCATCTTAACAGCATTAGTCCAGGCAAGCTAAAATTAGAATAAAAACTTAACATCATAATCATATGAAAGGAGTCCAAAAATTACTGTTCACATATGAGCATTAATAAACAAAAAGTAGCTAACCTCTGAATGGCTACTGCAACTAGTGAACCATCAGGGGTCGCACATAAATCAGTGACAGCAGGCAAGATATCCTCTTCTTTTCCGTCAGAAGGTAGAAATTCTGCCTATAGAACGTAGAGAAAATTAAAACCAGAAAAGATGAAAGCGTTGGAAGACTACTGAAAACCGATAGACAAGAAGCCAGAACCTCAAACTACATCACAAATCTAAAGTAAAAAGATAGAGCTGGATGTCAGAACTTCAATACTAATCATCATTCCACATGATGTAAGGGAACAAAAAGGCAGAAGATCAAAATTGGTGGAAAAGGATAAATACTCTATGCATATGATAGACCACTTGCACACTTAAGATATGAATGTTTTAAATCTTAAATATGTTTGTTAAGCTGAAGTTTATATATTGCTTAACTCAAATTGCAGACTTAAGGATTCAAAGGATGAAGTAATAATCAATATCTCCTGCATGTTTGGCTAGGCTTAAAAAGTTCAATTAAACGTATATCAATACGTTCTAGAATAAATAATAATTTTATTGGTCAAAGTTGAAAATAAGTTGGTTACTAATTTTGCTAGGAAAAATAAGAACAAGTTTGATTGAATAGAAGGGACGAGACTAAGCTGACTACAGAAAATTTTAGTCTGGCCAATGTAAGGTACCTGAGCTCCAACATAGCAGGTATCAAGAAGAGAACCAGAGGTGTGATCCCACAAGCGAACCTGGAATACATTGCAATTAAGATTTATCCAGGTGCCAGAAAAACTCAGTTGAACACGCTCATTATTTATATGCAATTTCAATAATCAGTCATATACTCACAGTTGAATCGCCACTTCCAGAGACTAAAAGCCCCAGAGGATATTTCTGACTGCCAACAAATGTAAGGCATGATACGAATCTGGCAATGGACAAATCACAACCAAATGTACGTGTCACCAGTCAACAGCCAAAATGCAAGGAAAATTTTGAACGTAATAGAGATGAATCTTGCAATGGACAAATCACAACAGAATGTCAATCTTCACCAGATAATGGCTGTAAAGAGAGGAAAAGTTTAAATGTAATACAGAAGAAAAATGTAGAAAAATGAAAGCAAAGAGAGTGATTATCCAAGGCAGAGGTTAAGGTAGAATTAAATTCTGAAGACCAAACAGAAGTGAGGTAATTTATTGGGGTTACTGGATAACCAAGCCCCTGTTTGGGCTCCATTAAAATAAAAGTTTTGGAAAAAATGTATTTTGGAATAGTGATTTTTTTGAGAATGTGCAGTTAAAAAAAAAAAAGGAAAAAGTTTTGGGTTTACATGTAACTTTATTTTATAGAAGAATCTGTAGTTGAAAACAAGTTTTAGACAAATGTATTTTTAATGGAGCCCAAACAGGGGCCAAATATTTTGTTCACACTCGATTTATTAAGAACTGCCTCTTCAACTAATGATGCCAAAGATTGTGGAGTCTGGAAATTTTATATAGATGACCTTTGCCTTGGCCACCATTAATTCATGGTAATTTGCATAATCAGGGTATACCTTCAATGCATCTCTACATGATTAATGGATAATGAATCAAATGCTTAGGGATTATGAGAAGCACTTACTCTGTATGACCAAGGCAAAAGCTCTGTATTTCATGAGCTCCATTAACTGGATTCTTTGGAAAGACAGTAACCTGTGAACGAAGACAGTAAGGTAACCCCTTCTATAAAAAGATAAAGCATACCATAAAATGGCCACTGATGTTCTCTTACACGAATTTTAAAGTCTCGATCAGAACTAACAATGAACCGTCCATCTGGTGAAAATTCCTGTAAGATGATAATTTTATTCAGAGGATTAAACAGGATGGCAGAGGCAATGATAAAAAAAGCCTCAGAAAAGCAAAATAGTTTGCATAAAACAATGACCCAACCAATGCCATACAGTGAAACGATAAATGAATCTTTCTCCACCAAACATTATAATACAAGACTATGGCTACAAAATAACAGCAGTCAGAATTTATACTACATAGAAGCATGAAGAGTAACCTTGGTAATTGATCAAATGAAAATATTAAACAATATATAATACACCATACCAGTCTAGTAATTATGCTACAATAGTGGGAAAGAATTGGAACACCCTTCTTAATAACGGTAACTCCATCTTCCACATTGTGATCTTCTATATCCACAACATACATAACTCCAAATTTATCCGCAAAACAAACAAACATCCCATCGTTACTTATACCAACAGCACTCACTCTCTTTTCCGAAGCCCTGTTCAATTCAGCGAAATCACCAGTATTATTTTTTCTAACATACATTAACTATGCATCATTAAGAAATTTCAAGTGCACATAAAAATTTGAAATTGTTGATGCATACACCTGCAAAATCACTCAAATATTCAACAAAATACACACTTTATTGTTTCGTAACAACTTACACAGAATAAATACAACGCCAAGAATCAGTGGCCCAAATCTTTACGAGCTTATCATCTCCAGCCGATACAAAGAGCTGCCCATTTGCGCTATAACGAATAGCTCGAATTGAATCCTTATGGCCTCCTGATTCATCTGCCAATGTAACTACACAACTCTCCCTGCAAATGAATTATAACAGCACCAAAAGTTTCAATAATTCGGTTGGATCCTACTTTACTACTTCTACAGATAAGTATGGTTTCTCTTACTGCAAATTGAAGACTCTCAGGTCCGACCCAACGGCAGCTGAAACAAACTTATGGGTCGGGTGTACAGAGATTAGGGCCGGAGCTACAGTTGTTTCCGGGTTCTTGTCGTTTTCTTCCTCCATTTCTTGATTTTGATTTGCAGAACCGTCAGTTTCAAATTAGGGTTTATTAAGGGTTTATGTTTTGGGGCTAATTTGGAGTCCAACAATTAAAATTTTATTGGGCTAGCCTTATTCAAAGGTTCACAATTTTCAGGGCATTTTCAACTAAAAGCTCCTGGATTATTTACATAAATAGCACTAAAATTAAGAATATGTCATTCTCCGGCACATTTTCAAATACTTTTGTTGACACGTTGGCTTTCGAAATCGAATGGTCACAATTCCTAAACACTCATTCTTTAGCTCGACTGTGCTAACAACTACTATTCGTGTTATTACAAATCAATATAAATATTCAATTCATTGTATTTAAAATAAGAGTAATAATATTCATCACTATGTTTTTAAACACCAATTTAGATGACAATAACATAACATTAAATGATATATTCATTTAACTACAAATTTACACAATCAATTTAATCAAACCAATAAAGTGTAACCATTTAGACTGGTGCAAAATAACATTATTTTTAAAATAAAAGATGAATAAAGAATGTGTGTCCGATGCAAGAATTTGAGCACCATGCACAAGATATCAGAGCGAAACATTCATGTGTACCAAAAAGTTATATCAAAAGCAGAAAGCTCAAATCCGACGCAAATAATTTTAGGCGCCATTACAGAAACGAGACGAACCTCCAATATAAAAGAGAGAGCATTAAAAGGTTTCTTCGTTCTAATACATTGTTTCCTTCAAGTAACAGCAGTGCACTGCCCCTTTCAAAGGCATTGGACGACCATAAAAAAGTTTGTCCAAACTCTAAACAAACGAAAGCCAACATATGGCTTACATGCAAAACCGGGCTGGGAAAAGGTCGGACCTCTTCTTTCAAGCTCTGCGTAAATGACCTAAATCTTCAGCTGTGCACATCCGAGGATAGTTCCCCTGCACCGTGTCATAGGAGCCACCTGATGCCAAACCGGTCTCTCATTTGCAAGCGACAGAACATCAACGTCAGTGGTCACCTTGATATCCCAATTCATCCTGTCAGGCCCTATAACTCCTCCAATTATGTAAATATCATCTCCCAACCCTATCATCCCAAAACTTATCTTTCGACGAAACTCAGATGCTGAAACTACCAACTTGCTGAATTCCCTCTCCTGCTTGTAAATTTGGCCATGGCTCATCACATACAGCTTCCCTTTAACAACTGCCAATGGACCCTGAAGCCAACAATAGTCATGAACTGTCCAACCCTGCTTAATACTATCCAAAACTTGCACAGTTGACAATCCCTTGTGCAAGACATGAACTTTACCCCCAATAACCACTCCTGTACATGCAGAATCATGAGTGTGGTGGAGATCGGGTATGGAAACCCAGACATCCTTGTCAGGATCATAGACTTCGGCTTTAGAGATTGACTTCCTGCAGTTAGTAAAACCACCAGCCACAATTATCTTCCCATCCACTACACAGCATGCGAACATTGCACGAGGCACAATCATAGGTGCACGTAGGGCCCACTGCCGAGATACTGTGTCATACGACCATACTACATCAGTAGCAAAACTTCCATCCTGGTCACCAGTCAAAGGATCCACAGCATCACTTCCACCACCTAACACAAAAAGCTTTCCACCAACAGAGACAACACCAAAGTGAGCGAGGTGCCTAATATTTGATGGAAGAACCGGGAGAGTAATCCAAAGGTCGTGCAGAGGATCATAAAGCTGCCATAGATTGTCAGGGTCATATGCACAAACACATATAAATTCCTGAGTCGAGTTCACCTCTTGACGGGCTTTAAAGAGTTCAGCGCTACAAATGGCAGCTCGCCAGGAGCGTGAAACTAGTTTTAACTTCGGATGAAGATGGAAGGGAACTCGTGCAAGGCACCTGAGGGCAACAGCATCAGGAAGGCGTTCGATAAGTCCAGACATTACGATGCACTATCTTGTATATGGATTCTTACTTTCTTAAGCAATCGTGATTCGGTACTCGGTGGAGACAGCTTCAAAACATACTATCTAAAATACCACATAAATAGGTAAAATCAGTATATAAGGGATGAGTGATTCATACAAAAGTCTTAATGTCATGCATTTGGACAGCCTGATTAATTAAAAAACACTAATGGTGAGAGATGTAAGCATTCTGAGAGCATCGTCAATTCATCATATAGGAAAAAATCCAAAGAGGATCAGTTTGTGACTTTGCACAAATAGGAACATGAAAGGTTTTAGCATGCCATGTCACATGAAAACAAAAAATTATTGATCCACTAAACACAATTGCTCCAACAATTCCACTGAAAGAGGTAATCTGAGTGTAAAAATGTCATGCCACTAAACATGTGAGTTCTAACCAGTGGCCACCAAAGGTACCTATACAGGCTATACTACTTAATTCTCTATCATAAGGAGATAACATGCCTACAATTTTGCAACACACAATCAAGTATGATATCACCATGCACTCATTTACCCATAATGGTATTGTGCAAAGCTATCAAGGCACTAATGCTTCCTAGTTCCCTTGCACATGCATTTCTAAGTGAAAGATCTCCACATATGCATAATATGTTCTGAAGAATTAGAAATTGTAAAAAATCTCAATAAACTCGAGCTAATATAAGCTCATTTTTCACCACAACTATTTTGAGCAAAATCAGAACCTAAGCAGTTTCAGATCAAGGTGTTGTGTTTACTTTAGCGAGCCATTCAATTTATAACCGCAAAAACATAAACTCCACATAAGAAACTAAGGTGAAATGACAGATTTAGATGGAAAGGATTCGAGAGCCTGTATTTTACAAAGTACGTATTACGCTTTGCACACTCTTTGCACCTGAGCTTGCTGGGCAGCTTCAAAGCAATTACAACACTATAATGCACTAAGGACACACCTCACTGCACTTAGCATGCAGGCGTGCATCTCATTGAGCTTTTAAATATATGCTTCTGTATACATGCACAGAATCAAGGAGAACAAAAAATGTATTGCAAAAGAATGAAGTCACAACCCTTACCAATAAGTCAAGAACAGAAGATTCTACATAAGCATAATATCTAATCTCTCTTTATAAATGCTATATTTCAGTTATTTCGAACCACCGCCTTAATACAGTAAGTATACCTCAGAAACAAGGCAATACGACATGAGTGGCAGAAATGCAGTTAAGGCTCATGCAAATGCAGTCCAACAAGCACAGAAGATTCTACATAAGCATAATATCTCATCCTTCTTTATAAATGTTACATTGAATAGAATCTATGCTTGTCCTTCCTATAAAATATTCACAGGCACAGACAAGGCTCTCGACTTTGTTTGAGAAGAAAAAATATGATCTACTTGTATTTGAAACATGAAAAAAAATGTTCATTTTCACTACTCAGCAAGCGTCAATGGATGAAGGGGATCATTCATTCCATAGATTGATAATCCAACAACAACGACTACAAATCCAAATAGATAACGAATAAAAGATATGGATCCACATCATTGTATATATATATATATATTTTGAAATTCAACCAGATCAGTATACTAGTTAATAACTTAATAATGCATGCAAGAGAGCAAACTTCATATTCAATCCTTGCTCAGCACCAATTCCTTCAGATTAACTAATATAGTATATTGGTAAACCAAACTAGAACTCTATTTACATCTGTTTGATTTCTAGGATCAAATATAAAATTTTCAAGCACTTCCATCACATTTACAATTCTAGAGTATCAGGAAGTTTATGCGATTAAAATCTTGCTGATTCAACAATTATCAGTCAAATAACTAAAAAGAATGCTCGAAATTCATACACATTTAATTTTCTTTAAGATGAAACACAAAAGTGGGCAATATGTGAAGCACACATCACCGGTACAAATCAAAATCCATCACTACATGCAAATCCCCACATCCTAACATCTTTAATCGAATCAAGAAAACCCCAGAACAATATATTCACATCCTAACATCCATCTAGTGAAAATATAAAAAATAAAAAATCACCCTGCCAAAAAGGCACAAAAATAGTAATAAAATTTCAAGTGCGCCACCATATTTCAGGATTTCAGGCATGGGTTCATCTCAAAATCAAAAGACACAACTACAAGATTCATAGAATTTAAAGATTATATAGAAATTCACGGGAAAAATCGAATTCACTGTTTACCAAAATCAGAATTACCTGTAAAACAATGAACTCGATGAAGAGAACAAGAATTCAGCTCGGTTTCAAACATTCTCCAAAAAGATGAAAAATTTTGGGAAAAAACAACATGCCCAGGTCGTAGAGCATTTATTTTTCCGTTTGGATTCAAGAACTATTCAAGTGTCACACGCACATTTCGTAAACACGTCAAGATATATACACATCTATATATTTCAGGAATATTGCTCAGTCGGTAAGATTGATTTTGTTAAAAGATCGTGTGAAGACTGAACAACTAATTATAAATTACCCTAACAATTGGTATGGTATTGGCATGAGTGCGGATATTCCATGCTGTGCTTGTTAGACAATCCGAAAGTCACGTGCTATGCACGCTCTGTCTGATTTTGGGCTTGATTTGGATTCTGGAATGGACTTTTTCTCTCATTCGGTGGGTCTTTTGCAAGCTGGTTCCAGCATCAATAGTGTGATATATCCGCCACTACCACATAGTCCATTTCTTAATTATAACAAGTAGAAAATTAATTACTGACGTGTGTAATTAAATATTCTTTTTCTAAATTAAATAAAAAATAAAATAGATGGGATTGCTAGTTGAAACGTCTATTTTCAAAATGAGCCAAACTATAGATTTTTCCTAGTTTCTTTGCATTTGATTGGTGTTTGATTAGTCTACGTAAATTGCTCTAAATTTCTTTTAATTTGAGTGATTTGACTTGTTTAGGGTGGAGATGTAAAAGACGTGAATTAGATGTGAACTATATTTTTGAAGGGATTGTAACCCTACACAGTTTGGACTCAACATTTTTAAAATCTTTTGTAAGTTTTCAAAATTCAAAATATTTCAAAGACGGAATTAGTTCTAGTATCACTGTCGTATTTAAAAGTTGAAACATAAGATGTTTAAAAAGATAATTTTACAAATCAAGTATCACTCCATTCACTCAAAAGTTGAATTTTTGCCTTTTGGGGCTCTTAAGCCCGAAGTTGCTCTATGAAGTTTACTTTTTGTTTATTAATGTCTGCACGAATTGTTAACATAGATAGTTAAAAAAATTATATTTCTGTCAATTATAGTCGATTCTTAGGGATTATCAATCATATAGTTTCCATGAAAAGAGGAAATCTACAAATGTATATATATAGGCAAAAAGGGCAATATACAGATGAATTTTTAGAAATTGCAACAATTCCATCTCTTTGAAGATTTCAGCCATTTGACATGGTATCTGAGCTTGGAATCTGATCTGCTTCAATTTTTTTTTTTTTTTTCAGTCGGGTGTCTCTCTTTCCGCTCATCAGCGTTGTCCCATTGTAATTTCAGTGTGGGCTGTTGCTAATTTCTCGTATCTTCATGGATTTCTACGGTTCAAGTGCCTTATATCGTTGATTCTCAGTGCAGTGGTGGATCTCGACAGATTATCTATGGTTATCTCCTGCAGTGGCTCTAGTCGGTGAATTTTGCTAGTTGTAAAATTGGGATTGACTATCCCGATTTATTCATCGTGGACCCCCCTCCCATGTGTATGGTTATCAACCGGGGTTGTCGGTACTTCTTCTTGTGATTTGCGATTGGGTATTTATGTCTTTCTATGCTTCTGGTTGGTAATTTTGGGAGATTGGTTTGAATTTCGTCGATTTCTTGTGAATTTTTGGCATCTTCACTGGTAGTTGGGTTCTTTGATTGTTCAATGTTGTAGTAGGTGTTTGCGTTGGTTTCTGGACCGATCTTATTTATTATGGTCGGCAATTGGGTTGGTTTAGACATTCTCTCTATCGGTTAAGTAATTGGGACTATTTTAATTTTAGTAAGACACTTTATTCAACATGTCATCAGATTTGGACTCCTTTCATATTTGTTTTAATAGCAAAAATTACTCAGCATGGGAGTTTTAATTTCAATTATTTTTCAAAGGAAAAGAATTGTAGGGGTCACATTGATGGTGGTAATCCTGATCCTAAAGATGCGGAGACTTTGTCCAAATGGGAAATTAAGGATGCTTGTATTATAACCTGGATCCTTAGTTAAATTGAGCCTCAACTCGTCCTCAATCCAAGACCTTATAAAACTGCTGCTAATATGTGGGATTATCTTAGTAAGGTTTACAAACAAGACAACATGGACTGATGATTTCAATTGGAATATGAGTTGGCTATTTTTACACAAGTTTCTCCATTGAGGAAAATTTTTTTTAGGCTTTCAAGATCTTTAGGCTAAATATTCAGACATAGTTTATGAGAATGTTCTTGCTGCAACTCTATCTGTTGTTCAAACATACATGAAACAACAAAGAGAGATCAACTCTTGATGAAGCTTCCTGACTTTGAGGTTGCACATTCTAACCTCATGAATCGTCATCCTGTCCCATTTCTAGACAATTGTTTGAGTGAGCTCCTTCGTGAAGAGCAACATATCGTTACCCAGGTTGCTATGGAATATGGGGCTACTATCAACTCTCCTACTAATGTGGCTTATGCAACACAAGGAAAGAATAAGGGTTGCGATATGCGTGCTGTCTAATGCTATAACTGTAAAACTTTTGGTCATATTGCTCGGGATTTTCCTAAGAAACATTGTACCTACTGCAAGAAACAAGGTCATCACATCTCCATTTGTCCCATTCGCCCTAAAAGGAAGCATACCGATACATTTCGTGCCTCCACCGGTGCCTATGGCTCTACTACATTGCTTGTTGCCTCGCCAATTGTTCCAAATACTCCTTCCACTGCCTTCGCAAACCCATCCACACTCACCCCTGAAATGGAACAATAGATGATCCATTATGCTTTCTCTGCCTTTGGCCTCTCAGGTACCCATACAGTTTCTTTTAAACCTTGGCTCTTTGATTTTGGAGCCTCTAATCATATGAAAAATATCGCTAGTTCTCTCTCCAATGTCAGAAAGTATGATGGGAATCTAAAAATTCACACGATTGATGGCAGTTCTCTGCCTATCAGGACTGTCGATGATATTTCTTCTTCCTTAACTGATGTTTCTGTGTTTCCTGATCTCTCTACAAATTTAATCTTTGTTGGTTAATTAGTTGATAATAATTATGATATCCATTTTTTCTCGTTCTGGTTGTGTTGTGCAAGATCAAGTGTCCGAAAAGATGATCGTGAAGGGGCTTAAAGTGGGACAACTCTTTCCTTTATACATTTTTCCATCCCCAATTCTTCCTAGTTCTCGTTTACTTTCTTTTGCATGTAATGCTTTTAGTCTTGAAAATAAGTTGTGGTATAGACGTATAAGTCAACCAAACTCGGATGTATTTCATACTTAATTCTAGTTTATGGAAAATAAAGCATCATCTTCTCTTGATATCTCTTTTGATCGTACAACATGCAAAATCGGTAAAACTAAAGTTCTATCTTTTCATTCTCATGGATCTCGTGCCTCATAATGCTTTAATATATTCATAGTGATGTTTGGGAAATTTCTCCTATTATTTCTCATGCTTGTTATAAGTATCTTGTTAGGTTCATTGATGACTTTAGTTGTTTTATTTGGGCTTACCTTTTACAGGCTAAGGTAGAAGTAATTTTAGTCTTTAAATGCTTCATTGCCCTGCTTCAAACTCAATTCTCTGCCAGCATTAAGATTTTGCGATCTGATTCTAGAGGGGAATATATATCCAATGCATTTCAGGACTTTCTTTAAAGCAAAGGTATCATCTCTCAGCATTCATGTCCTTCCAAACCCCAATAAAACGCTTTGTTGGACGGAAAAATCCTCATTTTCTTGATATGGTAAGAACTCTCTTATTAGAATCGTCTGTCCCTCCTCGACTTTTGTGTGAAGCCTTTGTACTGTAGTTCATTTAATTAATCGTTTACCTCTCCTACATTAAATCAGGTTTCTCCTTTCTTTAAGAGATTAGGCCATTCACCTCCATACTCTGATTTTCGTATATTTGGTTGTGTTTGTTTTGTTACTTTTGTACATCTCCCTGCTAATGAGCGACATAAACTTACTACTCAATTTGGCAAATGTGCTTTTTTTAGTTATTCTAACTCTCAAAAGGGTTATGTTTGTTATTACCAGCATGCTCAACATATTCATATTTCTAAGAATGTGATTTTCCTAGAGAATCAGTATTTTTTTCATCTTATATTGACATGTCATCTACATTTTTATCTTTTTTACCTAGCTTTTTTGGCCCCCAACAATTGTGGAAAAGTTTAAACCAGGTCTTGTGTATGAACGGCATCGCCATCATGAGTCTGATCCCACTTCCTCTGGACCCTCAAAATCTCAACTCAAGGCCTCATCCTGCTATCGTTTTCCCCACTCTTCATTGATGTACCTGTTCTTCTCGTCCTCTTGATAGGTATGGTTTCTCCTCTCATATCTTCCTTGTCACTACTTTACCATCTGTCTCCATTCCCTTTTGCTACAAACAGGCTATGGAACATGAATGTTGGCAAATTGCAATGCAAGCAGAATTCCAGGCAATAGAGGAAAATTACACTCGAGACATTGTTCCTTGTCCCCCTATAGTTAAACTTATTAGGAGTAAATGGGTTTTTCGGCGAAAATTTGTTATGATGGCTCTTTGGATAGGTACAAAGTTTGTTTTGTCGCTCTGGATAGTCGACAGGAATATGGGATTGATTATAAGGAAACATTTTCTCCTGTCGCTAAAATGGTCACAGTTCGAACGGTCTTAGCTATTGTCGCCTCACAATCGTGGCGACTACATCAGATAGATGTGAAAGAACGATTTTCTTCATGGCAATCTTCACAAGGACATTTATATGAAACTTCCATTCGGTATGACTACTACCTCTCCTTGGGATGTCTGTAAGCTAAGGTATTCTCTATATGGGCTTAAACAGGCTCTTCGGCTTGGTTTGAGAATTTTCATAGTACACTCCTCACCTTTAGCTTTATACAAAGTTAGTATGATTCATCTCTCTCTTTCGCAAGTCTACTGAAGGTATGGTTCTTCTTTTGGTTTACGTGGATGATATCATTATTACTAGCACTGGCTGTGGTTTAATTACTAAGCTTCAAACACTGTTGCATGCCACTTTCCATATGAAAGATCTAGGCCAGCTCACATACTTCTTGGGACTGGAGGTTAATCACTGGGCCAATGGTATCTTCTCAAACTAGCATAAGTATATTCAAGATCTTATTGCTTTAGTAGGGTTAGATGATACTTCTTTTGTAGATACTCCTATTGAAATAAATTTCAAATACAAGAAAAATGAAGGAGATCTTCTAGAGGACCCTACTCTCTATCGACACCTAGTTGGGAGTTATCTATTTGACCACTACTCGTCTTGATATCTCATATGTCGTTCATCAAATCAGTCAGTTTCTGTCCTCACCTTAACATCTTCATTTTGCTATAGTTTGTCACATTGTTCGCTATCTTCGCGGATAACCTACACATGGAATATTCTTTCACATAGGTTTATCTCTTCGGCCTATTGCCTATAGTGACGCTGATTGTCTTGATACATGTCATTCTACTATAGGTCGGTGTATGTTTTTAGGTGATGCCTTAATCTCTTGGAAATGTACAAAACAGGATCGTGTTTCTAAATCTTCTTCTGAGGCTAAGTATCATGTCATGTCTACGGTTTGTTCTGAGATTATTTTGGTTGTGGTATTCTGCACTAACTTGGGTTCTCCCAGCATCACCCTACTCCTCTTCGTGGGGATAACACTAATGCTATTCAGATTGCAAATAATCCCGTCTTTCATGAACACAGCAAACACATTGAGGCTGATTGACACTTTATTCGTGAAATTTTAGAAGTTCGGGTCATATCTCTTCTCCATTTCTTCTGATCTCCAAGTGACAGATGTCATCACCAAAGCTATGACTCGTTAGCTGCATTAATTTCTTGTTGGCAAATTGTTGCTAATTGATCTCCCAACATCAACTTGAGAGGGATGTTAACATAAATAATTAAGGAAATTATATTTCTGTCAATTATAGCCGATTCTTAGAGATTGTCAATCATATAGTTTCCATGTACAGAGGAAATCTACATGTGCATATATATGACAAAAAGGGGAAATATACAGACGAATTTTCAGAAATTGCAACCTCTCCCTCTCTCTCTTTAAAGATTTCGGCCCTTTGACCCGAACGAGATTTTCAGCTGACTTTGGTTGCAAGTTTGAACTTCCATGTCCGATAACCTTTTTTAAGTGGTAAGTGAACCCATGGCATGGCCATTCTAGGGTGGTTAGATCAAAACTGCTGAGAGCTTGGGCGATCAACCTCGTCTAGTTTTAGATGGAGTTCAATTCTGGATTTTAGTGTCAAAATAGTAACAAAGAATAACTCTCTCTATTTAGAAGAGTGATTTTATATCTGTTGTTTGAAACTTGGAGAACTAACCAAAAATTAACATGATCCGTCACAGTTGCATTAGATTTTATAGTACATTTAATGATAAACAAGAGTGCCAAAAATAATTCATAGAGCCGATCAGCCGAACTCATTAAGAATAAGATATAATTTGTTGAAAAATTCTAATAATTTATAAATTGATAGAACTGATATAAATAAAGCCACAGCTGTCAGACAATGCCCAAGTTGTTAATGACAAAATAAGAAAAATCAATTTCCTTAATACAAACTCTGGAAAACAATAGAGAATAAGTGAATTCAAAAACAATTATAAGCAGGTTATAAGCATTCAAAACAGGCAGAATAACTCTGTTAACAGACAATGTAACCAGCACAAAAGTCCTCAGGAAGCCTAAAAGTTCATCCTGGTTGCTGCAACGAATAAAGACACCGTCGCGAGATGAATCGGCGATTTGATGATATTTCCATCAGAAGTTTTCCCACTGGTATTTGGTTCTGTCTTTGATCCTGATCCTGTATCATGGATTCATCAAGATATTAGCATCACTCTTAGTTTTGTCATCGACATCGATATTTTGAATCTTCTTGAAGGTTGTGAAAACTCGAGATTTTCTCGAATTGCATATTAAAAAATAATGCTATGTAGTACCATTGGGCATTGGTGTTTATTACCGCAACATAGTCATATATACCTTGAGGACCAGAGGGAATAGTGGTTGTAGTGGGACTCTTAGCCGGTTCGTCAGAACCATCTGCAGGGGAGTTGATCGGTGAAGGCGAAGGGGAAAAGGCCGGTCCATTTGCAGACGCTGTAAAGTGACACATCTTATAAGCTCGTAATCGAGTTTCAAAAAAATACAAAAAATTGAAGAATTATACCTTTACACTGGCTAACGGGAGGAGTTTGAACACTACATGCGCTGGGAAGTGCCAGAGCATAAGTTTGGTTTATATTTAAACCAAAAGACAAACCAGCACCATTTAGTAGAGGACAAAGACACCGGGGCTGCGACTGAACAACGTTACCAAGAGACGAGCAACAGGAGGAGGATGGAGTGGACGAGTTTCCAGTAACGTAACTTAAACACGAGGAGAGGGTCATGAGTGTGCTGGTGCAGTTCGTGCTCGACTGTGCCATGGATCCACCTAAAAGCGTAAACGAAAGGACTAGGATCAGATAAAACTCGACTCTTTTAGGAGCCATAAGTAATGTGTAAGGTATCGCCCTGATGTCGAAAAAAGGCTAGAATTACTATTAAACCATGAAAAATTTGTGTTCCACAACTGGGAAGCGGAAGATTATAGCAAATTTATACTAGAATTTGAACATAAGAGACAATTTTATCTGGTATTTTGGTTGGCCAACTTTCATGGAATAAGGTATTTTGATAACTAAATATGGTTCAGTAATATAGTTATTAAGTCCTTTGGTATACCTAGCCGACATCGACATCTTCTTGCTCCAAAACTAACTTTCCTATTACATACAGTACAAATTCTAAAACAAAGACCATTTTCTTACCAAAAGTGTTGGACCATGGTGAAAACTTCTAGCTGCAAATGGACGTAGCTCTCACATTCAGAGTGAGCCACCATAGACATGCGTATTTGCATTGCTTGTTTCTAATTTTAGTTTCATTATTGCTCTCATAATTCTGAAATCGGTATATTGATCCTTAACTGTGAACGCCATTGCTAATCGTGAAATTCTTGTATTATGATTGGATTTTAGCAAGAGAGTAGACACTGTTTTGGATGCAATGTGCTCTGCCGCTGTAACTTACCTAGAAAACTTTCAGATGATAGATTGATGTCTTCTGAAGTTTCATGTGGACTGTGTGGAGCTAAATCGTATATTAAACTTACCTGCTCAACCGTGATTTATTTATGCCTAGGTATATTAGGTATTCCATACATTTATCAGGTTGCGCTAAAATTCTTATAAAAAAGTTTGTTACCTACTTTATCCATCAATTTATTTATCAGTTCTTAATTATTTGTACAGCACAGCTCAGTTTATCAACTTCTGTGGAAACATTTTACTGGGAAAAGTTAATATTTGTTTTAACAGGAATAGGTAAAAGCAAGTTTTAATGTTAATTATATTTAGCAAGTTTTCTCCTTCAAGTTTTAGTGCTGATGTGGACAGTAATGCCGTATTCTGGACGTACACATAGACATGAAATTTTTGACGTTAAGAGTAGGTAACTTTGCCTCGTCTTTGTTTCTATCGTAATGCCAACTAGCTAATTATCTAAGGTGTACTTGAACTTAGGGGTGAAATGCCACTCGAACCCAGAGCTAGCTGGTTCTACTCAAAATGCAGTGTCAAAATGACTGAGCCCAGCCACTCGCCTCAAGACCCTGGACTAGCTTGGTACAAAATGGCATGGCCTAGATCGGCTCAAATGACCTAAGCCTTCATTTTAATGCGATCATTTTTGCAACATACATTATTATATAAGTCGTAATCTTCTTTGTCGATCCTTTTAAGCCTTCTCTGAGTATAAAACAACTGCCTCGTTTAGAAACTTTAGTGGAAAATCATAGGAAAAATTCTAAGGCCTATTCATGTCCAGATGCAATGCTTCACTATTGATCAAGCTACTTAAGTCAGAGGTTCTCCATCTAATAATGGGATCGAATTTCAGATTAGATTCCAACAATTTTTATATTGCATAAGCCGTGTTAAGAAGAATGTCAAAGAGTTCAACCGATGCTAAACCAACGTTCCATGAACAATTTCGTAAAGGTACGGACCAGAAGAAAGAACCCCTCAAGGCCGCCACTCTGGAAGAAGCCACTTGGATTATAACTGGTACAGAATTCTTATAATGAACATAGAACAAGGAATAGAAAATGGATATATTGATGACATTAGTACAACCCCTTTCCTCCAAATGGAAAAAGTGCACGAATTTAACCGCATAAGAACCCCTTAAACTGTCGTCTAATCTCAGAATCCGGTGGAAGACAGAGCACATAATACAACGAAAAGAAGGATGCCGACAAAATTGAATGGCGTATTTATGTTGCTTCCTCCAACAGAGGCGCCGTCCGTTTTTGGAACTGTTTTAGATCCTGTCCCTGGATTCAAATAAATTTAATTGAAATCTTGTTCATTGTGCCATCGACTTTCTGAAAACTTTAGAATCTCAAATTATTATTACTCTCTGAGATTTGTGTCTCAATTGAACTTTTATTAGTACCTGATGGAATATCTGAATCTGATGGCAAGGTCGGAACATCAGGAGTCTCATCGACGGATTCTGCAGGAGATTCAGCGGGAGAGCTAACCGGGGTAGCTGCAGAATTTGTTCCTCCATTTACATCTGTATTCACAAGCAAATCGAATTCATTTGAGATAATGTGTTAGTTTGGAAATGAATACTGTAACTTGTATAATTCTTCTGGCTAAAAACTATGAGAAACGCCTATTTACAAGGTTACACATAGTTATAAAAGGAAAGATTCTACATTAGCTACATGCAATAATTAAACGACAGACGAAGAGTGACAAAATCAACATTATTACCATTGCACCGGCTAACCGGAGGTGTTTGTACATTGCAAACTTTGGGTAATGCAAGTGCTAGAGTTTGATTTATCGTGATGCCAAATGAGGAAGCGGCACCACCGTTCAACAATGAGCAAAGACACTGCGGCTGCGACTTTACTACACCTGAAAGCTGGGAGCAACACGACGAGGATGGCGTTGATGAATTCCCAATAACGTAGTTGAGACACGGGGATAAGCCCACAATGGCCGTAGTGCAGCCCGATTGAGCTTTCGTGTCATCGGAAAGCATGACTACAAGAACAAGGACTAGACTTATTTTACGTACTATGGAAGCCATTTACTAAAACAGATGTTAAGCACAAGAAATGTAGAATTTCAGAAGTTGGGGAAGATGGACTTTTGGTTAATTTGGAATGGAAAATATTTGCTTGAACGCTTGAAAATGTAAACTTGGGTGAAGAGGGGAAAAAATGGCTAAGGATTAAATAGGTACCTGGAGTAGGGGGAGGACAACACGTAAACAAATAGGTATGTTTGGTTGGCCAACTTTTGAACTTAATGGATTATAGTTTCTTGATTAAAGAAGAAAATCAGTAAGTTTAAACATTGGAAGATTTACCGAGAAAGGCATCTAATCGTTGGACTGTATAAATTTTTGTAATTTTAATAAACCCCCCTTACTGTGGAGAACATGCAAGATTTTAAGGAAAATTGCAGTTGAAGTATCCAACTATGTGTATTGTAGCAAGTTGGTCCTCAACTTTCTTTACTTGATAGATTCATAAAGTCTCAAATCTATAGTACATTGATTCCCAAATCATGTTTTCCATCCATGATGAGGTTAAAAGGCACATGAATCATGGTTTGAGGATAAAATAAGTAAAGAAACGAAACAGAATGAAAAGAAAAAATGAAAAAGAAGAAGACAAACCATTACCTTGCCACCTAACACCCATCCACACCATGTCACCCTCATTTCTCCCATCCCCGGACTGTAGTTTGGTCAGAGGCAGAGCAAGGAGAGTAGAGTTGAGGGGCAAATTTTACAAAATTTTAATTGTAGGGGCAAAATTAAAAATTATAAAAAAAAAATTGAATATCTCACGTAAAATCTTGGAATTTTTATTGCAAAATCTTGGATTTCAAATTTAATGTGAGGACAACTGACTCCACTATCCCCACTATAGATCTTCCCATGAGTTCGGCATTGGTGGGTTGAAGGTGATGATAGTAGACAACGAGAAGGTAGATGGAGAATGGAGGAATTTTTTTTTCTCAATTAAAAATAAGGGTTTAATCGCTTTCAATCAAAATACTGACTTTCTAAGGCAACATGGATAAAAACCATGCAGTGGATCCATGTTGCTACAAACTTGAAATGTTGGGGTCCAATCGACAAAGAAAAAAGATTTAGGTATCCGTTTACACAAATTTAATAGACTAGAGATCTCCACTGCAATTTCCCCTAATTTTTTTCTTTACTTCAGGTTTTGATCAAGTATACAACCACCCTCAAAGCAAGAAGTATTAACTATCCCTTCCTAACATGGAAATCCTTCTTTTCAAGTCAAAACAGCATATGACAAATCATTACTCCATTCGATAATTATTAGTTAAAGTAGTTGATCCCTAAAAACCACCTTAAATCTACCGTTTTGTTCTCTCCAAGTAAACCAAGAAGCTAAATTCTTCCACTTATAAGTTTTTGCTTCTCCATTTCTTTTCCAGGAACTAAAATCCATGAAAAATTTCATGGCATATTCATGTCTAAATGCAGTGCTTATACTATCTCTATTATTACTTTCAGCATTTAGAGTAAATGGGCAAATTAGCACAGCATGTACAAGTTCAATGATAAGCAGCTTCACACCATGCTTTAATTACTTGACTGGAAGCAGTGGCTCTGGATCTTCACCAACTGCAGAATGCTGCAATTCACTGAAAAATCTCACGAGCGATAGCATGGATTGTACATGCCTCATTGTAACAGGGAATGTTCCTGTCTCAATACCATTTATCAGTAGCATTTTAGCGATTTCGCTCCCTCGAATGTGTAACAGCACCGTGCCGTTACAGTGCAAAGGTGAAGTTTGATCTTTCCCAATGGATTTCTGGTAGGGTGAACTGAATAGCACTGGATGATATTTTTAGTCCAATTGTCCAATACTGCTTACCAAACATTCGCTTTATGTTCATTCTAGGCGGATCTCATTGCTAATAATCATTTTCTTATTCTTTGCAGCCACCGGTGTTGCCTTACCAGCTCCAGGTTAACTCTAACATTCCATACTTATATACTAACTAGACGTGATGATTAATATGTTGATAATTGAAAACCCTAATTCTAGCACGAAGAGCAATAAAATCATAGAAAGAAGATAGACACAAAAACGTCAAGATTTACAGACTTTCGTCTCAATGTGCATGAAACAACATCCTCCTCTGCATGTTGCACTAGTTCACTATGATGAAAAAGTAGTTTACAAGAGAAAATCACACACTATATCTTCTTTGATCTCTCTCTTTTTGTAATGCAAATAAAACTTAACTGAACAAGGTGTGGGTTTCATGTGTGTACGTGCGCGCGCTCGCGTTCTTCTCGTTGTGTCTAAAAGACTAATGACTTTTTCAAATAATGTGGATTTAACTGAGCTTTATAATAGTATAAAGAAGAAACTTAAGCTAACAGGGGTGTTCTCAACTAAAAGTTTAATGAATTTTAAATGATTATAAATTCTAATGAATTTGGTGGATTTAAATGGATTCTTACAAATTTCATAAGAATCTCATCAAATATGGTGAAATTTCAAAAGATTTACTTATATTTATTTTTAAGCTTGAAATCCATCCAAATCTTTTAAAATCCTTTTATTAATAAAATTTTTATAAATTCACTAATTATTGAACATACCTAAATTTTAAAGGATTTCATTAAAATTTCAATTGGGAACACCTAAATTTTAATGAATTTAATTAAAATTTAATAAAATCTCAATTGAAGATACCTAAATTTAGAATGACTTTTAAAATCCATTGCAATTTCAATTGAGGACATCCCCCTAAAATTTTGTCGAGCTATGTTAAGTGCACCACGCCAAGGCTTGCCTTTTTAGATTTGCTCCTTTTTTTTCCTTTTTTTCCACACGAAGAAATCTTTGTAATCATTTTTTTAATCAAATAACCTCAGGTCCTGTCTTATTTGCTCCAACTCAAGCACCTGTTGCTCATGCTCCTCATGCTCATCGTCCCAGAGGTAGTTTTCTCAGAATTGGATTATGTGATATGTCTTCAAAATCTTTATTCTAAAAGCACCTTGGAATCGAGCTTCAGTTCTAACCATTTTCTTTGTTCATTTTCTTTGTTCAGCTTCCAAAGCGGCCGCAGCAGCACCGCCACCAGCTGAAACACCACTCGATATTACACCGGCAGCTCCACCTGAAGTTTCATTAGCTCCGACAGAAAACCAGGGGATCAGACCAGTTCTCACACCCAATTCAGCTTCAAATCCATCCATTGTTTCCTTGTCATCTCTTCTGACATTGCTTGTTGGAATCATGGTCATAAAGTTATTCTGATCTTCTTATGTTGTCTTATTCCTTCGATATCCTTTTCTTTTCTTTTTTCTTGTACTATAATCCATTGTAAGAACTATAAGCTTGATGGAGGCGATGAAGACATATTCTCTTGTAATAATCATGGTTGGATTTATTTCTGAGTGATATGTCTACTACAAAATGCGATTATAACGAACGTAAGCCATTAATTTCAAACAATGAGATAAGTGGTACAGGTATGTTTGTCAAATATGAAACAAGCTCACAGTTTTTTAGCTCCATCTCCCACGATTATTTAGGTGAATATGAGTATCGCCCAGGTAACTTAGGACAGTTTGGTAAGATTTTTGAAAAATCAAAAGTTATTATGAAGAAAAAAAGTTATTTCAGAACTTCTTTGAATAATCTTTTAAAAGTATTTTATTTGGTTACAAAAAAATTTAAAGGAAGTTGACACAATAATGACTTCAAGAAGTTCTTATACAAAAATTAGAAACAGAAGCAAAAGTTATCTCAAACAGATTTAAGTTTTGAGTTCCACACGTGCTGGCTTGATACAATTTTAATTATAAACATAATTAGATACATTACATACTTGCCTCGTCCAATATATATATATATATATATATATATATAGCTTAGCCCTAATTTTCCCAATATATAACTACCTAATCTCAAAGAGATTTCATCAGTCTCTTTATGAATCAGCTAAATTAATGTGACAATACTTTTCTACATTTTTCTTCTCCTACAAAAGACAACTTGTGCAAATAGGATTCTCACATATTGAACTTCAATCCTAATAGAAATTCAAAGAAAAATGGCAATTTCAAACTTATTTGTACCATCCTAAGGGTTATCAACAAGTTGAGTCGGCTCTCATGAGTCAAAATTCGAAACTTGAGCTCAACTCGAATAAAAATGATTTTGAGTTTTTTTATCCTGAGCCAAATAGGCTCAACCCAAGCTTTTTTTTTTTTTTTTTTTCAATAGCTGCCTTAACAAGGCAACTGTATAGCTGCTATACATGTTAAGGCTGCTATGTATTTTTTTTTTTTTTTTTTTAGGGTTTTACAGTTTTTTTTTTTTTTTTTTTTAGGGTCAGCTCGTTACGAGTTGAAAATGGCCCATTTGGCTCGGGCTCAAGCCGGCACTTAATTTTTAGGGTTTTTTTTTTTTTTTTTTTTTTTTTTTTAAGGTTCTACAGATTTATTTATTTATTTTTTTAGGGTCAGCTCGTTACGAGTTGAAAATGGCCCATTTGGCTCGGGCTCAAGCCGGCACCCCAATGGGGCTCTCGGACATTTCGAACCGACGAGCCAAATTGACACCCCTATTCACATCAGATGCCTTCTGATCGTTCTTATAGCTTTGCATTATATTTATATCATTTGTCATCTTAAATCTTGTATATTGTCCAAAGATAGCACAAGAAGGGATGATTATATACTCTAATGACATGTTTAGTATGCTCGACCGAATAAAATTTGGGAGAACAATCGACAAATATCTGCTAGAGCACGTGTCAAGTGCTCTTCGATTCTCGACAATAAACTGAATAAGAAATTGACAAATATAATTGTCGACATATTTATTTCTTATTCACTTTTATGTATATATTGGCCAAAAAAGCCTGTAATCTGTTCAAAAAATACATGAGGAATCTATGACAAGGCTTTTACTTTTGGTCATTTTCATAGAATTGAAACCTTTGTGTATCTCTAATTCTATATTGAGTCACCATGGAACGACAATTTCTTTTACTCGGTCCTTTAATCAAGGAAGGTGGACCGAGTTTTTCTACTACTCTATAGCCATATTTTTAGCAAAAACCTAATTTGTAATAACACAAACAAAGCAAACTAACCACAAGTTTTTCCTTGTATTGTCAGGTGACTTCCGCTTAGATATGTCCTTATTACATTCTCAAGAAACTTGTCCAAAAAAATAAAATAAAAATAAAATTAAGAGCATTTGCAAGTAAAGAAAATGGCGAAGAAAATTGTTGTTGTCTTAATTTTGTGCCTTGTCGTGATGGCAACTATGCAAGGATGGACCCACATGGGGTCATGTTGGGTCAGTTGACCTCATAGAATTTTCAGATATTTTTTTTTCTTTAAGTTATCCAAACTTCCCAAGTCCAATTAAACATAACATTGATCCATTGCTTGCCTATCTATCCGCCTATGGGCTGCCATTTGCCAAGCCCATTTATTCAGCTGATTTGCACACAAGCCCAATAGTGATTAATGATATGTTGTTTAAAAAAAAAAAAAAAAAATTATATTTCAATTTTTGACCCAACAATGTCGAATGTCTGGCTCCGTCCCTGCCAACTATGCAAATTCAAAAGGCTGGAGCCACCGAGGGGGAAGAATTCAAAGAATGCTACGACACTTGCCATACGCAGTGCTCAAAAAAAGGCGATGGCTACAACTTCTGCGAGATTAAATGCTTCACTGATTGTGGTGTCAAGGAAGTCAGAGGTTAGTTTTCAAGCCTATATATGATTAAACAAAAGGTGCATGCAACAATTATTATTGTCTTATATAATTTAGCATGTAACGATATGAGCCTTAGTGTCCAAAATGATATATCATACATACGTACTGTTTGTTTTGAGATCAAATCTCGAAGGACGTGAGATAAATTCATGAGGGATAAGAGAATAAATGTTCTCTCAAATTGAACATTACATAAAATATAAACGGCTTGGATACTCCCATGTTTGATCCCCCATTTTTTGGTAAAATTTATTATGGAATAGTGATTTATTTATTTATTTTGAGAATGTGATTAAAAAGTAAGTAGAAATTTTTGGAATACGTATATAATTATTTTATGGAAGAATGTGTGATTGAAAATGAGGTTTGAAAAAATGGGGCTCAAACAAGGGCGCAGGTTCAGATCGTTATACGACATACTAAATATCAATTTTTTTTCAATAATACACTTGATTAATCATTGTTTTTCTTCTAAATTAGTCTTACTTTGGGACCCATTTTTCAATCTATTTTTCTCTTTAACATATGTGTTTTTATTCTCATTAGTTTCTATTCATTTCTATCTTGCAGAAAAAATTGAAAACTACAAGCCTTGAAGAAGGACCATGGATTGATACAAAAGTTAACCAGCTATAGAGTTAGAGGCATTTGATCAATAAAGTGCGTAAGAATCAATAATTTTATTGGTCTGGTGCCACTTTATTAGTAAAAATCCAGCAAAAGTTGAAATGTATCATATCATTAACTTGTGGAGTTGATTGAATAACTCTGCTGAGAAAATGATCAAAGCTATTGAATTTTTGAAAACAAAAATCAATATGGCACCTGATATAAGAATTGTATAGAAGAGAATGTAATAGAAAGCTGCAACTCATAATTATTTGAACTAATTGCTATTGACTTTGATTATATTTGGCATCGATACCAGTATGATTTAAAAACTATTTTGTAATCTATAAAACCTCCTTTTTTTCCAAATTAAATTCAAACCCCACATTCTTCTAATAAAATAATCTTGCACGTAAACCTAAAACTTATCTTTACTTTTTAGTCTTACATTCTCCGAAAAATCACAATTATAAAACTCATTAATTTTTAAGAAAAATGGATCTCAAACGCACTCTAATCATCTTAACTCCAATAATTGAGTAAGAATTGGCTAATTTCTGTCATAGCAGTTGGGCTGGCCTTTGGATACATAATGAAAAATTAATGTCATGGTCCAATGGGCCAGCTTTGAACCCACCCAGTGGGCAGTTCCTAATTTTATTTTATTTTTTACAGAAGGCCTTAATTTTAAAATTTTTTATGGGAAAATTAGACCATATACCCCCCCAAAATAAGAGTTTTGAAAAGTACTATTAAAACTAATTAAAACATTTAATCACGTATTAAATACGTTCCAAAAAAAAGAGTACTTTATACTCTCCTCCTCCAAATAAACAACCCAAATCCCTAATTAGAACCACGTAATGGCAATTGAGAAACCCCCAAACGATTCCAAATCGTCCCCAAAATTAACGAACCTACGATTCACTTCTTCATGGAAAATTCTTCATCGGCATCCCAGAGTTTTGAGCAAGACTGTTATTAATGGCCATCTTCGCAGGGCATACAGTGTCCAACAGAGTAGAATTCTGAAGCTATATTAGATGGGATTGGGGTCCTACTGATTTGCAATGTCATCTTCCTGTGGGGTTTGGATACTGATCAAAGTGAAGGCTATTTCACAAATTTCTGTTTTGTAGTTGTTCGTGGTAGATTCTTAGGTTGTTCTGGTGTATTGAAAGTGTAGGTGGTAGGTGGTTATTGGTGTTTGAAAATCGTATGTTGACGGCATTATGTTGCAGATGTTAATTTACAATTTCTGATTGAATGGGTTCTTTTTATGTTTGTGTTGCTCCTATTTTACATGTAATTTGGTTTCATCGCATTTAATTGTTTTTCATTTTATATAAACTTTGTTTTTCATTGATTATGTAAAATTTGTATTAAAATTGTTAGAGTGTCGAAACAATGTTCTTCAGTTTTTAGTTAGTGCAGTGACTATGGATTCGTTGATGGTATTTTTCATGAGCCTCTTTTTGTTCATTTTAACAAATCGATGTTCCTTTTAGGGGTATTGTGTACTATTATGTGGTATAGAGGGTGTTTGATAGTCATTTTTATGTAAAAATGCATTTTAGAATAGTAAATTGATGTGAAATGTGTGGTTGAAAAATAAGATTATTTATTTATTTATATGTAATATTATTTTAATAAAGAATGCGTGGTTGAAAAAAAGAGAGAAAAAAATACATTTTGAAAAAAATGGGGACCAAACGGGAGCTAAGTCATAGATAATGGATCAAGACGACAAAAGACCTTGTGCCTCGAAGTGGTTAGGCTGCGCTGATTTTGTCACTTTTTTCTTGAGTTTATGTCACTTTTTCTGAATTCTGCTAGTTTTTGAGTGTTTGTCACTCTTTTTTTTATTAGTTTGTCTCACTTTTTCTTAATTTTGTCAATTTTTGAGTGTTTGTCACTTTTTTTGAATATTTGTGTCACTTTTTTTTTTATAATAATTGTCACTTTTTTTAGTATTTGTTATTTTTTTCAACAGTTTTTTTGAAATTTTTATCACTTGTTTTAGTGACAAATATCACTTTTTTATTGTTTTATAAAAAAGTAAAAAAGTGAGACAATTTTTGTA